TAGATTTGGGCGTCATCAGCATATATCAGCACACCCCTCCCCATGCCTGTGGAGGATCTCACCCATTGGCTTCATGTGAGAGGCATAGATGTGGGTGTCATCGGCATACATCAGCACACCTCTATGGATGATCTCCTGCTCTGAAGCCCATTTGAAATGGGTCAAGAAAGTGCGTGTGCGCCTGGAGTTGAAGGACAGCGGCCTTCTTGGTCACCTTGCCCCAAAAAGGGAGGAATTATTAAGGTCAAGGGGACCTGTGGACTTTCACCTCGTCCGAACTCTCTCTTTGGCTGGTGAGTTTGCACTACTGCCGTGGACCCCTCTGGACCCCACGAGGGCCCCCACGAGGGCCCCTTCCCTCTTTCCTTCCTTCCTTCCTCTCCAGGTGAGACCGCCTTACCTTTTGTTGGAACCCGGTGGCGAAGCTCCCCGTGGGGCACCTGTCCACCGAGCCCCATTTGCCTCTTTGCCCCCCATTGTGGACCCTGGCCACAGAGCCGTAGTCCGGTAGAGGGGTGGAGTCCCCCAGGGACCCCGAAAGCAGGAGCGCCAGCCCAGCCAGGACGCTGACCACAAGCTTGACCATTGCGGCAGCCAGCAATGGCCAGCTCAAGGCCCTGCCCAAGGCTTTATACTGGCACCAGGGACTGGACCTTGTGCGCGGCCAATGGGGTGGCCTTCTCAGGGGTGGGCACAAGGGAGGTGTGTGGTGGCACCCGTGGCCGCATCAAAGGGCCGAGAAGGGTCTTGGCCAATCGCTCCGGACACAGTGTCCACCCTGCCATGGGTGCGGACAAGCCACTTGCAAGCCAATCCCTTCTGCAAACACAAGCCTTATCTGCACTGACCTCTGGTTTTCTCTCCTGGTGCCAGGACACTCCTTCCTCCCCTTGGCTTCGTGTGGTCAGAGGGTCACAGAGTCAGGGAAGGGACCCCCAAAGGCCATCTAGTCCAACCCTATTCTGCCATGCAGGAAAAGCACAATCAAAGCACTCCCAACAGATGGTCAGCCAGCTATGTTATGATCCAGTATTATTATTATTATTATTATTATTATTATTATTATTATTATTATTATTATGGTATTAGACTCCTAGAGTTGGGAGGGACCCCCAAAGGCCATCTAGTCCAACCCCCTGCTGTCTGGCATTATTTGGGGAAAGCACAATCAAATCACCCCCAACAGAAGGCCATCCAGCCTTTGTAATAATAATAGTAATAATAATAATAATAATAATAATAATAATAATAATAATAACCCCCTTCTGCCATGGAGGAAAAGCACAATCAAAGCATACCCAACAGATGGCCATCCAGCTATGTTATTATCCATTATTATTATTATTATTATTATTATTATTATTATTATTATTATTACAGTATTCAACTCCTAGATTTGGAAGGGATCCCCAAAGGTCATCTAGTCCAACCCCATTCTGTCTGCCATTATCTGGGAAAAGCACAATCAAAGCATCCCCAACAGATGGCCATCCAGCTATGTTAGTATCCATTATTATTATTATTATTATTATTATTATTATTATTATTATTATTACAGTATTCAACTCCTAGATTTGGAAGGGATCCCCCAAAGGTCATCTAGTCCAACCCCATTCTGTCTGCCATTATCTAGGAAAAGCACAATCAAAGCATCCCCAACAGATGGCCATCCAGCTATGTTATTATCCATTGTTATTATTACAGTATTCAACTCCTAGAGTTGGAAGGGACCCCCAAAGGTTATCTAGTCCAACCCCATTCTGTCTGCCATGCAGGAAAAGCACAATCAAAGCACCTCCAACAGATGGCCATCCAGTATCTGCCTTATTATTATTATTATTATTATTATTATTATTATTATTATTCAAAAATACATTGCACAGTCCTAAATGTTTGGGAAGTGTTTGACATTTTGATTTTGTGATACGAAATCCAGCATATAGCTCTCATTTGCTGTGACATACTGTGCTTTTGTGTCAGTAAAATAATAACAATAATAATAATAGAATCCTAGAGTTGGAAGGGACCCCCAAAGGCCATCTAGTCTATCTAGCCTCTGTCTAAAAGCCTCCAAGGAAGGATGATGATGATGATTATTATTATTATTATTAGACTCCTAGAGTTGGAAGAGACCCCCAAAGGTCATCTAGTCCAAACCCCCATTATGCCAGAAAAGCACAATCAAGGTATCCACAACAGATATCCAGCTATGTTATTATCCATTATTATTATTATTATTATTATTATTATTATTATTATTATTATTATTATTAGACTCCTATAGTTGGAAGAGACCCCCAAAGGTCATCTAGTACAACCCCCTTCTGCCTTCATACAGGAAAAACCCAATCGAAGCACCCCTGGCAGATGACCATCCAGCTTCTGTTTAAAAGCCTCCACGGCTTTGCTGTCGGAATCTGGGAGTTTCTGGCTTATGGCCACCCAATTGTAGGCTTTTCTTGTAAAGACTGATTACAAGGAGGTTGTGTCCCATGGCCTTCCTCTGAGGCTGAGAGAGTGTGACTTGCCCAAGGACTCCCAGAGGGTTTCCAGGGCTGAGAAGGGATCATCACCATTGTTATTATATACTAGCCGTCCCCTGCCACATGTTGCTGTGGCCGAGTCTTGTATATGTGTGTCTGTATATTTTTGTACATGTGTATACATGTGGTTTTGCGAATGCATTGTAATGTATTTTTTATTTTTTGGCTTTTTAAGTCTCTTCCGCTATGTTTTTCCGTGTTGTTATGAGTGATGGTCACTCGTTGGCCTGAAAGGTGCCTTGTGTCCAAATTTGGTGTCCATTCGTCCAGTGGTTTGTGAGTTATGGTAATCCCACAAACAAACATTACATTTTTATTTATATAGACTAGCTGTTCCCTGCCATGTGTTGCTGTGGCCAACCTTCCTCCCTTTTTTTCTCCTTCTTTCCCTCCTTCCTTCGCTCCCTCTTTCCTTCCTTTCCTTCTTTCCTTTTCTCCTTCCTTCCTTCTCTACCTCTTTCTTTCCTTCCCGTTTATTTTCCTTCCTTCTTTCTCTTTCTTCCTTCTCTACTTTTCCTTCCTTCCTTAGATCTTTGCCTCCATCCTTCCTTCTCTCTTCCCTTCTTTCCCTTTCTCTTTTGTATGCTTCTTTCCCTCCTTCCTTTGCTCCCTCTTTCTTTCCTTTTTTATGTCCTTCTCTCCTTCCTTCTCTACCTTTCTTTCCKTCCTTTCTTCTCTACCTCTTTCCTTCYTTTGCTTTTTGCTTCCTTCTCTTTCCTTCTTTCCTTCCCTCTTTTTCTGCTTCTTTCCTTCCTTCACTCCCTCTTTCCTTCCTTTCCTTTTTTCTGTCCTTCTTTCTTTCCTTCCCCCTTTTTCGTTTCCTTTCTCTTTCTCTCCTTTCTTCCTTCTCYACTTCTTTCCTTCCTTTGCTCTTTGCTTCCATGCTTCCTTCTCTCTCTCTTCCTTTCTTTCTTTCCCTCCCTCTTTCTCTCCTTCCTTTCCCCCCCTTCCTTTCTTTCTCCCCTTCCTTCACTCCCTTTTTTCTGTATCGTCATTTAGCTTTTCATCATTTAGCTTTTTGGGGTTTTTAAGTCCTTTCCACTAGTTTTTTTTTTTTGGGGGGGGGTTACGAGTGAGGGTCACTCAGTCTGTTAGGGGTGTAGTGTCCAAATTTGGTGTCAATTCATCCAGTAGTTTTTGAGTTCTGTTAATCCCACAAACGAAATTTACATTTTTATTTATATAGATTACAATTATGTTGTTGTTGTTGTTGTTTATTTCCACCCTGCACTTTCTCTCCCCAAGGAGACTCAAAGCAGCTTATGTAAAACACATTGCAATACCATTTCACATCTGCAAACTTTGAAACAAGGATTCGAACCTGGATCCCAGAGTCAAGATCCCATTGCAGAAGGCTTCACACACACAAACGCACCCTTGTCCCGTCCATTATCTAACTTGGCTTGGGTTGGCGTGGGGGCCCTTCATCCACCCCTGAGCAAGGGCCAGTCCCTTTCACTGGAAACTAAAGTTTATGTAAACGAAACCCAACCATTTTTATGGACGGGGGTGGGGGAGAAAACACCTGACTGTTGAGAATCAGCCTGTGTTTCAGGATCCTGATGTGGGAAATGATGAGAGAAATGATGGGGCTGAGATGCAAGATGGAGGCGGTTTGGTCAATGATTTTCATGCAGACAATGACAGAGAGGCCTCAGTGCAAAGGGCAGTTTCTCAAGAGAATATTCCTGCTGGGCTTAAGGATAATGGTTCACCCCCTCTCTCTGTGAGGAGAAGGAGAACTTTATTTTTCTACCCCGCCTCCATCTCCCTGAAGGGACTCAGGGCGGCTTACATGGGGCCAAGCCCAGGGAATAGACAATTAAAAGCAGAGCAATAACAAAATACTCTCTAATGGTATTCCGCAAAAAGGTGAAGACCTGGATGTTTGTGCAGGCGTTTGAGTAATTTAGTGCAATCTGGTAATGGAACATAGGAATGGAACAAGGGACAACGACGAACCTGGACTACGCTTGGATGATGAGAAGATTGGGTACGGTTGTTTTTCGTAATAATTGTGCATTGTAATTGCTGATTGGTAATTTATGGATAATGTGTTAAGTCAATTGTTATATGTTGTATGGAACCACTGCTGTTTCTACTGTTTCTACTGTTTGTGAACCGCTGTGAGTCGCCTTCGGGCTTGAGATACAGCCGTATAGAAGCAAAGTAAATAAATAAATAAAATACAATTTAAAAGCATAAAACAAACATAACAATAATAGACAAGCATCAAGCAACAAAAGAACTAAGGGGGGGGAGAGATCAAAATATGGTCTGATTGAAGAGTAATTGGTTCAACAAGGTGGATGAAAATATTTAATAGCATATTTATTTATTTATTTATTTATTTATTTATTTATTTAAAAGTTTTATATACAGACCTTTTCACCTCTCTTGAGGGACTCAGACGGGTTTCCAACCATAATATCACATACAGTCAATAAAACATCATAATTCATATTACAGTAAAACA